ACCGGTTTTGACCTTCTTGAGAATATTTATTCAAATGGAACATGGTGTTTACAAAATTTCGTGAAATGCGCCTACATGGTGAAACCGAACAAGGGCGAAACCAGCCGTGAGTTATAGGGGACTCTCCAGCGAACCTATGAGTAGCTTCTAATAAGGGAACCGGTTGTACAGTTCTTCGGTTGCACCGGGCGAACTGAAACGGGGACAAAGTGCTCCAGGCTATCAGACTCTATTTTGTTCGGCGTGCAATATGTGACACAAAAATTGACCGTAATCAGCTCATTTTGTACGCGGAGAAAGTGAGCCATACCGCAGATCATTTTCATATTTAGCCCATCATCGAACTGTGAAACGTATTTAACAAATTTTCGGATAGGCTTCTTGTGACGCTCATCTATCATTCGTTATTTACACACGGGTGACCAACGTCCCATAAAAACTCACGGCTGCGTGAGGTCCAATAAACTGCAGCTGTGATTGCTCTCGGGTGCTACCTGCATCGTGTTTGGACGTGAAAAAGTCTACAGTCTTGGTTTCCATCACTGAAATGTTTCTCGGAAAACAGAGATTACTGCGACAGGCAAGCGTTTATCGACACGCACCAGGCTGTTCAGCGTTTCAGCTCTAGAGGGAGGAGAAAAGATCCCACATATGTAGAATTGAACATTCCTCACTAAATGGACGATACTCACAATCCCCTCGCATTGCACACAGAGCTAACTTGTTGCCTCATAGATTGTTGGCCGTTTCTGATAGCTAGTTTGAAAAAAAATGGGTATGATAAATTTGACTCAGTTGCACTCCATTCAGTGCTAAAAATAACGACAGCGTTACAGTTCGCCTAGGAAGCATGTGCAGTTAGTCGCTGCTAGCGGATTGACCGTGTAACAAATCTAGCTGACGCTAACCAATGAGCCAATAGACATGGAAATTTCCTCTTGGTTCGGCTCATTCAGTTATTCACTCCCTGGTAAACCAGTCATCTTCGCTGATTCTTTTGAGGCCTGTTCTCAACCTCAGCTGGGTTGGAGACTCATGCAGTATCTCGTGGCAACTTGCAATAGCGAAGTCATTCAATGTGGAATATTCGAGAAAAACTTTGAAGCCTTTTTGCCGTTGTTGGACATTTTGAAAACCCGGCAGCTCAAAGAGCTACGGGTGAAGAGAAGAAGGCCTTTGCTGCGGAGTTATTCATTAGAAAATGCCAACTGACTGGTTACAAACCATTGGACAGGGAAGCAAAACCCTCATTTGCATCTTATTTACAAAAACTGGACACCCATCTTCCCCTGAACGCGTCTTCTTGAACTTTCCTGGATATTTATTGACTCCAATCATTTATCGCTCAAATCCAAGCAAATGTTACACAGCGACTCCACGAATTCCGCAACAGATCTCCTCTTTTCAAGAGACGCAAAGCGAAATTCCAAGAACAGCACATACTACTCGCATGCCTTTCCATCAGTAGTATCACAGTTACACAGGCATATTCGAACCATAAGCCTTCTTTAATGCCTGAACAGTAATCGGATTAACTAACACTCAGACAGGGTGAGTCGCCACTCGTGCTCCGAAGACTCACTTCAAATCACGTGGTAGCATGTTGACTGACCCATCCGGTGACAACTTTTCAGATACAAGTTTCATGTGATGAGAGGGTCTTTTTCTTTGCCGGGCAGATTACTTATTCGTGGTGAAGCGAATTCGGCGATTTGATCGATATTTCATTGTGACCACGTGACATAAACTAATGAACTGAACAGTGAGTGTTGTTTAAATTGCTGGTACGACGCCCTGTTACTAGTCCATCAAACCAAAAAACGATTTCAGAGATACCAGTGTCACTCTTGAAACTAAAAAAACCCGCAATTATGGTCCATAGCCGCTAAACATCCACCCATTTAACGATTGGGGAGGGAAATACCGTACCAGAATGTTAGGTTCACGGGTTGCTTGTGGTTCCACTCCACTCTGGCTATCGTTTCGTTCTCTTGTGTCACGCAACCAGGTTGCAATCACTTCATACCACCAACCCTCAGTAAATCATTTATAATCACTTTTTACAACCGTCTGATTGGAACCCAATGTGAATAGTGAGATCAATGGCGGCACATCGACCTTGGTACTACAAATCAGTACCTTACTGAAAGTCAGTAAGTGTTGGGTGTTATCAATCACGTGTTTTATTCATGAAAAATAAAAAAAAGTTTGAATAGTGTTACCTTTGGCCGTCCGTTGAATCAAGGACTATTCGCCTGTGTTTGGAAGGAGGAAAGAGTAGACAGAAAAGGCATTGATGGATGGAAGTTTGACCCAAAGGATACGGTGAATTTAAAATCAGCCAGACTGTGTGGCCACCATCGGAATAATCTAGGCCCCGTCGGTCCGGCGCGCTTTGTATTGCACGTACACGATCGAGACTGCGATTTTCTCAAGTATTAGGGTTTCTTCCAGAGAGAGGGAGAGAGGTAGTTTCAAACTCAAAACTGACCGATAAAACGGGCACATTTTCTCAACAACATATAGTTGGGGTGGTTGTATGGTTTTGAGCACTTCTCTGTCGGAATACTTTAGGTGGTTGCTTCAAGGTCAATCTGTTGCCACTCTGTCGGAGGGTTTGAAACACGCCAAAGCACGTCCAAAGTAAGCGGCCTTCCAATTTTGACGTCAGGCCCACTTTTCCACACGGCAGCAACAAGGTAAACCGAGATAAAGTGAATTCAATTGAAGGCGTCAAATCTGGTCAGCAGAATCTGAGTTTGAATCAAACCAGGGTTCAACAGGGTCTCTGACCAGCTTGCTTATGGACCGAGCTGCCGTGTTCGAATATGAACACACCCTTGTGCAGAAAAAGGAACCGTTGAATCAACGGTCATTTGATCATTCCATATCTGAGAAACTCTAAACTTCTAACACATCAATTCTCATTAGTTCTGGATAGTTGCGAGATTTGTAAAGTTCGCACTTGCATGCCTCTCATTTCAGCAGTACCACTTCCGTCTTGATTCAACTATTTTGATGGGTCCACATCAAGGGAGGGGAACCAGTGGACTTGAGTTGCACTCGTTAGGAGTGCATATTCTAGCACATTCTGGACGCGTCTGAATTAGTACGTTTGGACCACGCAAACACAGTATTAGGGATGTAGTTCGAGGCATCGGACACAGCTCAAACGCGAACGCACTCAGCTGTTGAAGCGTGACAGTCCAGGATGGAGCGGATCGTGTTGGTGGAACAATGTGACAAGCTCGTCTAACACGACAGGAGTTCCAAGCCCGACAAAGCCAAGGGTGTGCATGCAGTTGTACTGACATGGTTTTACTGCACTCAAGTAGTTTTCTGCTCTGGTGCTGCTGTCACAATGACGATGATGATGATGATGATGATGATGATGATGATGATGGTGATGACAGATATGCACTGCTGAAGAGCTCTAATCTGAGCGAAACTGGAGTCCGGTGCTTTCCTGTCGGCTGCGGACTTGCCTGCACAAAGCTCCAGGAGAGGATATGGCTATGCAAACGACAGTGATGTGGACGCCAAGCTTGGCCGACCGTGTCAAACCTATCTTGTCAACCTGATACACTTGTTAGGGTCACAAGCTGCTCTACGAAGGACGTCAGACATCTCTTTTCAAACCGAGTTGTTGTTGATGAGAGACTAAGCTGAAGCTCTCTTTCTTTTTGAGCCCAAAGCGATGAAAAAATTCGATAGCTCATTTTCACTTGATCCCGTTTGGCGCTGATCAAGTGGGCATAATCCTCAAGATCAACTAGGTTCTATCCCACTTGGTTGAAAAGTGCCTAACCGCCAGAAGTAAAGCGCGCGAAATTTGAGGTATGACATTCGCAAATTAAGTGTCCATCAGTTACCAAACAGTGTTTGCCTCTTCGAAAGCTGAGTGCGTTCGGGAATGGAGTATGGAGGCAAATGAAGTAAAGCCTTTAGTTCAAGTGACCTAACTGGATGAAGTAGGCTCATGTGATAAGGAATCACTGGGTTGAAAAGACTGTAGATTCACGTGACGTTCGTGAGAGTGCTTTTGGTTAAGATTATACCGAACTGCAAATGCTTAGGTTTAAATGAATGAATGGGATCGAGTTTGTCTTTTGAATGGAGCTCTGGCGCTGACCGGGTACGGTGATCATGCCCCCTAACCGACCAAATCCAATACAACTGCATTCAGTTCCATTTTTTAGTCACACATTCATCCCCTGGCGTGCGTAAATTCGTGAAAATGCGAAGATAGACTGTGCTGTCTGCCACAATCCATTCACTAGACGAGAAGGCTATCTGAGAATGCAAGCTGTGGGCTTCAGTTGTTCACCCACAAACGTGTCTTCCTCTAGGCAACTTCATATACGGTGACCTACTATGGTCAACATTTGTGTTGCCAGCATTTCCACGGTGGTAATCGATAATCTATGCCCAGACTGCGGTGATTCCTACTGAAGTGGAGCGTGTAGATAGTTGAACAGAAACCCTTCAGGGTCCACCCGATTCCAGTGCCACCATCTCCTATTCGGACTAGCTAGCTAAGGTTCACCTGTCGGGTAATGTTCACAAAGGACTCTGGGTTAACCCTACTGATAATGTGTCCATGACGTGGGCATCTTGCGACAAACACACTCATTTGCAAATCAATTTGGTTTTCCCAGGAGACTCAAGTGAATCCCTCGTTTATGATGTTCTTGAATTAAATGTGCAGCACACAGGCCACCTCATGTTTCAATTGGTACGATATTCGAGATATCGCGGTATATTTTCATGATGGTTGCTGAATACTCCTCGACATCCCACGACCGTTTTCGCCCTTCTGCTTCGGGCTCATCAGGTAGGCACAGTCCCAGAGTTTCCGTCAACTTTATGATCTACTTGAACCCACGCTGGACTGTTTTTGAGAAATACACTCATTTGCAAACCAATTTGTTTTTCACGAGAGACCCGACTGTTCAAGTAGCACATGAGGTTGACGGAAACTCGGGGACTGCGCCTACCTGATGAGCCCCAAGAAGGGCGAGACCGGTCGTGGGCTGTGGAAGAATTTGTCATGTGATTTCGAGCCTGGAGACACCACAAACGAGAGATTAAGCTGGGTTCCAGGTGAGTCTCCCACAAAGCCGGATTCTACTGGTTTGATTCACGCCAGAGAGTGGACTGCATGGAGGGGGGGTAGACCCTGATCACCATACCAAGAGTCACAGTAAATCACGAACCAAATTCTGCTCAATGAAATATGAGAAAATAAATTCATCCTAGGTGTCCTATAAGTCGTGCGTCCATGCGGAATGTGTACATTTGTTTGTATGGTATTACACCTCAAAATTAGACGCTCGAAGCATCTGTTCACACTGCCATAGTGGACAAACTGGAGTGAATGTAACGAATCGAACTCGTTTGAAATATGGTAAACACTGAGGGGGAGCGGTTTTGTTACACGAGCATCCCACGCNGTTCTATTAGGGAAAGACTGAGCAGAAAGTTTGAAGCCTTTTTTTGTAACGTTCATTCTGTGGTGGAACGACTAACTGTTTTGAATAACTGACACATTTGGAAACGTCAGAAAATGCCCCCACAGAATTGTACATATCCTAACTGTTTTGGAGAAGTGATGAAAAATATTTGTGGGGTTTTTGAGAAAATCCTCTGAAAAAGAATCACTTTGAAAGTTTTGTCCAAACGATTGGGCATTGAATGGAACATCTAGCCGGCTTGTCAGAACGGTTTGACAAAACCCTGCAAAAATGGTAAGCAATCGCGGCGGTTATCAGGGCGTATTTGGGATTAAATATGACTTCGGTTCGATGCAACAGAATATGGCTCAACCTGTCTTCTTCAAGCAACTATTAGTAGAAAGATGTTAAACTGTTAAACGGTCGTCCTGCTGGCGAACTACTCGGGGACTGCGTCTACTTGATGAGCCCCGAAGAAGAACGAAACCGGTCATGGGTTGTCGACGAATTTTCAGCAACCTTATGAGTAGTGCATTACGAACTATTCAGTTGTTGTACGGAATACTTTCGACTTTGAGATAGTCATCTGACCAGCCCATAAGAGAGGAACTCCTTGTTCTGATAGTATGTTGCACCCGTCACTCTCGGTTTCCAGATATCGGCCTATTGTATCATCGCTGAAACATTGATGACGTTACAGTACCGAGCAACTTGGTAACTTGAGTAAGCCAGCTGTATGTTACTGCAGACTTGTAACTCACCCGTCTGAGTTACCCTCCCACGGTTCTGGCGCAACTGTTGTGGTGAGTCCTCAATGACGAAAAGAACCGCCTTACTTCCCGCTAGATCTTATTGGAGATAATCGGCAGTGCATGGTCCGAACCGTGTCAGGTCATGAGCACCGGATATCTGCCACGTGGTGTGAACTTGTTACCAGTGCACTACTAACGCGAGCTGACCGTACACCAAACATCATATCTTGTTTTCATTGGTTTGCTCAACGCCAATCAATTTATCCAGGGACTACTTCCAGTGCCTTTTCTTCGGGTCAAATTCTGGACACGTCAAGGCCGTCAGCCCATCCAAAGACCATGCAGTCTCGCACTGTGTGTGAACAGAAAACAAAATGTCTTATCTGACATAGGACGTAATGGCATTGAAAAGTATTCAGCAGCCCACTACGGATTTTGCTCTTTTCAGGGGAGCGGACCAACTGAAGTGTTCTTAAACCGAGGGTGCTGCACAAAGGTCACTTCATTTTTCAGTTGGTACTCGTGAGTAGAAATATCGCAGTATGGTTTGCCGACATAAAGCTCACATCAGTTAAAAAAGCCATAAACGGAAGACCGAGTTAACAGTAATACAACTTGCGATTGAGTGGGTTTCGTTGGGAATCTGTTTTGAATCCGAATCGCTGACAGCGTAACGGCCTATACTACTGATAAAGCATTCGAGTAGTCTCTGGTCTGGTGTTCACCCCCACGTCTGATGGAAGGTGAACGTCACTTTTCAGCGTTCGTTCACTATTGTTTAATAGTCAAAGAATGTCCGGGGAAGTTCAAGAGGGCACTTGAGAGTGCTCACCTTTCAAAAGCCGCGTGCGGGCAAGATGCTAACTATCGTGTCCTAAGGTCAGCGTTCTGTACTAAACTACGTCGCAGCGGAACGCGATTCGCACTTTTGCAGTTGTGACATCTGGTCGAAATGAGCAGCTCCCAATTACAGTCTAACTTGGGAGACCCAAGTAGCCTACGTCTTGCTGCAGAGTTCTTCGAAACCCCGTGTTCCTCACGATATCTCCTCTCTTAGTGAGAAGGTGAGGATTTGCACAGAAGACAGGTTGTCAGTTGCTAAAAAATCAGTCGATAAAAATAAGTTATTATGCCTGACGTTGATCGATACTACCTGGATGCACGCAACACATACTCGTCCACATTTTAAAGCGTACTTTTCACACGTGATAGTTTGTAGTTCAACGAAAACTTTAAAGTTGTCCGTTTTGGAAAGATGTGACAAAACTCTGGAATGAGTGCGGGGCATTTGGTATTGTAGCATTTGTCACATACGGTTCACAAGTTAAAAAAATCACGGGGGAGAATGTAGAGAAAACTAATCTAACCAATCGTAACTCAGGTAGTAACCATGCCGTAGTTTGCTCGTTGTGCTGGGCAATTCAATTATAAACGTTCGATCAACAGTCAAGGTACCATTCTTGGTGCGTACAGAGATCGATGTAGGTTCTACTCACCTGGGCTGACCGTAATAATCATCGATTTTTAATAGACATTTCTATTGCCTTGTTGGCAGTCTGTCTTCTGAGTAATCGGTGTCTGTATAGCCTTAAACTTGACTTCTCCGGTAGTGCTCTTTGAATCCTGTTCGATTTCCTGCTCCGTTGATCTGATGGGCGAGGAATGGTATTCGGGAGAGCAATCCACCAATCGTCATACTGAATTTGACCCCATCTGCGCAAAGCTAAGAGGAAAGGACCCCCAGCTCAATGGTACCACTGAGTCCGCCAAGGCTCTCAGACCAACGGTCTGGGAAGCCAGGCTCAGTGTGGAGGAAAACGAACAAAGGTCGCGGCCAAAACCACTCGGGCTTCTACCAATCATCAACTAGTAATCAGCCAAGGTCGACCTGGATCAGCGAACCTAATATCACCCCACCCACGCGCACCACTTCCAACCTTGACGCACCGATGACGTTAGCTCGACTGATGATGAGGCGTTTTCAGCTTGTCCGGCTCAACTTGGTGGACAAAACCACGACTAATGTGTTACTTCTATCACTAAGGTTGCCCAAGTTCGTCAACAGCAAGCTTTAAAATGCAAACTCGAAAACATCTTCTGAGACAACACTTAGCTCAAGAAAAGCCGCTGCCATGGAGGCACCGAAAAAATGCGCATTCAAAAACACCGTCTTCTTGTGTATGTTATTTTTTTTTATGCCCAGTCGAAAGAAGGTGGCAAATTTCAGCCTGAGAAGGTATGATGCTACCACACGTGATATCAGAGGTCTTGGCGCTGAATCCATCATTGCCAAGTAACAGTGGTGAGGGTCACCAAGTTACTTGGGTTTATTGACACTGAAAGGCCATCGGTGAATCAGTAGTCGTAGGGTCGAGAAAAAGGTTAGAACCCTTCCCAGCAGCGTGATACAGAACTTACCTAAAAAGGGTCAGCGTTCAAGCCCAGCCGGCAGCTGTTTACGGTCCCTTAGCCTGAGTTCCAGCAACAGGATGCCGTTTCGCTCAAAAAGCTGGTCAATGAAATGTCTTGCTGGCTGCGTACCATCAGTCAGAAAGAGGACTTCGGATCGATCAGTCGACCGGGCGCTTGGGGAACAACAAATCACGTTCAAGAGTTAACCTCCGACTTTTTAAATATAGTGGACTTTTTTAAATGTACCTTTAGTATTCCGGTCGACATCGATTCACAAATGCTGGGAAGAACAGCTAGATAGCATGGGAAGCAGCTGACGAACTGTCTCTGAACTGTTGCGAATAAACTTTGCCTTCTGAGAAACATCTTACATCCGAAATCAGTTTGTTTATTTTTACATCGTCTTCCAATCAGTCACGTGTAAAACTCGATGCTTTAGTAGCATCTGTTAGCGATACAGGTTTCCCTGTTTGAAAAAATTCTTTCCATTTTAACTGGTATGGGCTGAAAGTATGTCTTGTCTTGCGAAACAATGTTTGACCCACATGTTTGACCACACCTGTTTGCCATCGTTACGAAGCCAGGAACATCCAGGCACTCACAGTGCCGAGTGGACAGAGTGCAGCCTTGAAGATACCCACACGTAAGTTCGTCCAAGATGAGCAAACTGTCATGTGACTGAGTTTCACAGGTGTGCTTGGACAGAGTCAAGTTTATTACGAAAGCTGTCAGAATGCTCCGAGTCTTCAACGATGAAAACATCGTCAGTTCAGTGTCTATCGATCCTATTGATTTTCCAATCCCCGCTGCAAATTCAAAACGTAGATAGGGATGTTTGAATCCAGAACTAGACAGAGTTTGTCAAAATTTCTATGATGACTGTTAATGCAGACTAGATTTTTGCCTTTGAATCGAATAAACTGGTTCATATCTGCAGAGGAACCCCCGTACTATCAGAAATTGTAATGTAATGGTTTCCGTTTCATAGCTGATTTTGGAAGTCATACAGCGCACAATTCTAGGTAGAAATAAACTTTTGGGTTTTACTGGAAGCTTGTCTGTCTTTGTTCTGAATTCTAAGTGAGCAATACATCGAAGTAAGGCAGAATTTGGGTTCTGAAGTCTATTTTTCTATCTGACGCATACCATATTCGAATCGTTGTGTTGGGTAGACCAAGTTAGCTCAGACGAAAGAAACGTAGTTCTCAGGTCTTGTCTGTCCCTAAAATATTAGGTTGAAAAGGATGTTTTGTCCTTTCACGTAGACAGAAACGAGTTCGATGCCTTGGCTCGATAGGAACTTCTTTTTGTAAAAAGTGCTTGAATGTTATTTGTAGTGCGCTTTTTGAGGGGATTTCAGTGGTAATGGAACCTCTTTGACCGTATCGAGATGACTCGGATGTTCTGCCGGCTAGACAACAAATAGGCCCGGTAACTTAACTCATGCTGAATGACACGGACGCGTAGGTTGTAGAGCGCTTTGACATCGATCTTGTGCTGAAGACCCCCCCCCCAAAGGGCAGGCAATTGACCCGCACCCACCCTGTTATCATGGCCAATCCACAAGTGAGTTGACGAAAAGCCTATCAAAACGCCTAAGCCAGTTAGAATCCGAGGACCTCATGGTAATTAGAGTTCTGACTTCAACATCCTACCGAGCAAATTGACTTTCGCGTTTCCGTCAAGGCAGTAGTAGTCCCCCCCCCCCCCAAAAGGCAATTGACCCGCACCCACCCTGTTATCATGGCCAATCCACAAGTGAGTTGACGAAAAGCCTATCAAAACGCCTAAGCCAGTTAGAATCCGAGGACCTCATGGTAATTAGAGTTCTGACTTCAACATCCTACCGAGCAAATTGACTTTCACGTTTCCGTCAAGGCAGTAGTAGTCCAGAAAGCAGCCGGGACGGTGACTTCTATCGTTATCAATCAGAATTTTTTGAAGATACGGGAGACTAAAATAGGCCTGAGGGGTATTATATTTTCGTGTTACCGAGGTATAACTCTGTCTCACATATTCCCCTGTTTTTCAGATTTTTCTCTGTGAGGAATACATCAAGGACTGGCGCATTTCCGTGACGAAGCGCCGCGTATTGCAGGTTACCCTCGAATTGCTCATCTGTTCCATACATCCTCTTCCCGGAGTCAACCTATTTTTCGAACTTCCCTCCCGTCCACCTCAAAATATCACTATCCTGCACCCGATCCGCAAAGAAGTTGGGAACAGCAATTTGATGGGCAAATTCAGCCCATATCTTCTGCTGGTCCTGCCGATGATTGGACGTTTGTATCTGGCATTTAGAACACTGCTGCTTCATTCGAAGATGTTCAACGATGCCGGATCCCGTAGTATCGGGTCAATGAACAAGGTTGGTTTATCTGTGATAGAAATTCTTCGCTGCCCGCAAGGAAGGAGTGAGATGATCCAAGTGGTTAGGGCGCGAATTTACTGACCGAAAGGTCCGTGGTTCGAATCCGACCTCTGCCTCTCGACTTCCCCTGTCTAGGCTTGGGCGACCTGGCCGTATCCCAGTCCTCGTGCTTCCTTCGGGTGGCATGGCAGTCAGGCACCGAAGTTAACTCGTTCTGACATTTTTACAAGTTGCTGTACAGACTGGGAATTGTTGTGACTTTCAACTCCTCAATTGGTCCCTAAAAAACTCAAATTTACAAGCAGTTTGACCATGCTGTAAACATATTTGTGCCGACATTAGATGTCCTCAGTCTTTCTGAAGGCTGGAGATAGAAGACAAATTTGATATACGATTGCAACGAAGCTCTGGTAATACCTTACTTTTCTTAACGTTCACATCACTCTCACTCGAGCTGCTGTCCCCTTGTCATGGCACACTTGTTCTAGTAAGCCCACACTAACGGGACGAAGCATTGCACTCGGGTTTCACCCTTGGTAGAGCTCATTAAGAGTGTATATTATCGGTCGTGAATTGGTTTGAACTCAGAACATGCGTGTTACCACTACCCACGCTGGTCTTATTCACGCGTACGTATTTCACTGGGTGCCGTTTCCGATGGAGATAAGGCACAACTCTGTGGCTCATTTACTCAAAGTGCTTAGACAGAAAAGACAAACATCGGTTTTTTTTCGTTTCAGGGGGTTTGCTAAACAATCGGTGGATTTATTGCTGGGCAACGTTTCGCTATTGACAAAAAAGCGCTGATCAAGTCACTAGTCATAAGGAATGTCACGGATCGGTTCCCTGACTGCCTTAAGACCCAATCAACCTACTTACTTACTCACTTGGCCTGACGAGGCTTTTGTGTCAAAAGCGAAACGTTGCCCAGCGATAAATTCACCAATTGTTTACCAAACACCTCTGAAACGATGACTTCCCAATCGGTCCTAAACAGTTTCCAATAGAGCGGTTAGTCTTCTTTGACCTCAAATCAGGGAGTGGTAGAGAGGGGCACAAGCAAGCCGTCGAAACCCAGGTACGAGCGATTGCACAAATTATTTGACGGGTGGAATCGACCTTGTATTCCGTCAACGATTTGTCTGGCTACGAATGACCATGTCATCAATGGAACACTCAGTTGTTGTGAACAGGAATTTGGGTCACACCGATCTAAATTTAACGTTTTGAACATGGTACCAAGGGAACACACAGCAACAACTGACGGAGAAGTGCAACAGCAAACATGTGTTATATCTGCTGATTCGCCGATCAGTGGTATCTGCTGCTAACCCGCATCAGTGCCTAGTGCCGGAGAAAAAAGACTCACAGAAGGGAACACAACCATTATATTCCGAACAAGCGAGTGCGAGAGCGTGAGTGCGTGCGAGTGGCAAATATTACAACGGCCCCACGATATTTAAAGGGGACTTTCTGACGTTGATCGAGGCTGTTTGATAGGCCTTAGTGAACACCCATCAACATCGATCGTGCCTCTATGAAACGCCTGAACGCAGATCATATTCGGTCGTGCTTCTGTGGTGTGCATGAACACTCATCAGATTTTGCTGAATTGATTGAATGATTAACTGGCCTGGATGCTTGCCGGCTTTCCTGTTGGGATTTCGGTGGAGCAGTAGGTTCCGGGTGTTCTGAGGTTAATTTCAGGAATCTGACCTTCCTGATAACATGTTTACGAATTGCTTCCAGTTTTCGAACTAAACATGTTCACCTGATACATGAAACACTTCTTACAATGAGCGTTACTTGCTTATCAGCGTAAATCTGCGTCACTCAAAGCGGGTGCATATGTACCAAAATGCACCTAACGTCCTTAACACCTCCCTGCAAATTTTGCCACGATAACGGAAACTTTTTTATACGACGTGACTGGAAATGAGCTGCTCAAAAAATGGCCGAATGAGAACAATGTTACGTGCAGCTACGTGCGTTTGAGACAAATTCTCACCTTCTGGTCACCCAGAAAAGTAAGTTACCCTGTCCGCTCTTTTTTTCAGACATTTTTCGTTCCGGACCTCCATCAACCAGCTTTTGCAAGGCTTTCATTCGTATTGCATCGAGTTCTCACGAGTTATCTGTTGAAAAAGGATCCACAAGGTCATTCATAGAGGTCCCTAGAATTCGTTCCTGGACTAGGCAGGTGGGCAACAGGCGTTTCGTCACCAGTGTGCGACTGACTGAATATTTCCTCCTCTGCTACGCATGTTTACGTTGTATTTCAAGACCACGTGGAAGCTGCGCCGTGATTGGATAATTGTGAACTGCCTTTCACGCAACCCGATAGGTTCGCTGCATCCAACCAATTACCGTAGAGACAATGGATGTCTTTTAGAATCTACATAAACCGAAACAGAATAGGAAGAAACTGCTCGTTCAGTTGTGCACTGATGATGATCACTGGACTGACGCTGAATCATTGGAAACCCAGTTGCCTAGCCCGGGGAACAAACCGATAACTAGACAGCATGTCTGTGCTGGGCATGCATATTTATATGGCATATTGTCTTCGAGGTAGGTCAGTGGTTAAGGGGTGAGCTTACTGGCCTGAAGGCCATGGCTCGGAACCAACTTCAGCTAGGCTCGGGCGTTCTAACAGTATCTCAGCTGTCGAACTCCCTGCAGGTCGCATGGTAGCCAGACACAGAAAAGGTTCTGTAGCTGAACGAGTATCATTTTTACTCTATTGTGTATTGATCATCATTGTGTAACAGAAGCCCAACAGAAGGTGAATCGTATTTGGCATGGGGGGTTTGTTTAAACGGAACTGTTGTCTTGCAAACCAATCGGTCCCCAGCCGACTTGATACAGGAATTATCACGTGACCTTCTAAGACTTGCGTGTGTCCCATGGGGGAGAAATTAGGACTGGAAACGTTTAGAAGCCATTTTACCGTTTTGGATCTGATCGTTCACTGACATACCCGAATCTCTGTTCTACCTCGCTTCTCGCAGGTCAGCTTCGATCTACGCTTTGTACTAAAAACCATGATGACCTTGTGCCCCCTCAAGTCCCTTCTGGTTTTCATTTGCGTCATCTGGATCATTCTCAGTTGGATGTTGCGGGCATGCGAACTGTAAGTGTGCTGTTTCGTTTTTGTATACTGCCCACGCCCACACACAGAGAAGCAATGTTGAATTCGATATGTATGTGAATTATTCAGGGAGTATCATCGACACTCCCAAAGTGCACGGCCCAAGGTGCACAGCAGGATAACAATTGGGTGAAGTAGTTTCCGATGACTGGGTGAATTAGAACGTTGAAAACTACCAACAACTGGAGAATATTTTGTTTCGCTGGCTGAGAACACTTCACTGAGTGTTTGGTCCCGGTTCTCATTGCTAGGTAGAATGGTTTGAACAGATAAGTAACCGGTAAGAGCCTCTGTAGGCTTTTGTCAAGTGAGGATATGAGGTTGGGTCTACACCAGCATCTTAGGCCGGAACGAGCAACGGCCTGACCACTCTGTTGGTATTTTCAGTCAGCTGAGATTTCGCGATGCCATGCTGGGAACCCGAGAGGCATTGTACAGCTCCGTCATTCTCATGCGCATCGTCGAAACGGTGACCTTCCGGCCAGTGACTCAATATTTAATCATTCGGTCACAAGCGGCTGAGCAGTAGTGTGAATAGCTCACTCACACTCTTCCTCTCCCTCAATCATAAACAAAATTTTTAGTTTCTTTCTCGCCGCGTCTGAAATTTGTACTGGTCTCCGAAACAAATTGTAATTTTTTTGTCGGTAATCTTAGCTACAGGGGGCTGGATGGACCAAGTGGTTAGAGCGCAAATTTACTGACCGGGAGGTCCGTGGTTCGAACCCGACCTCTGCCTCTCGACTTCCCCTGTCTAGCCATGGGCGACCTGGCAGTATCCCAGCCCTCGTGCTTCATTCGTGTGGCATGGCAGCTAGGCACCGAAAGGGTGCTACGGCTGAACGATTTATTTATTTTTATTCTTAGCTGGCAAAGTTTGATGTTTCCTTGACGTAGTTGTTACAGTAAGTAGATACCGATCTCATGTAGGTCATGATATCACTGACCAGGGTTTTCGCACAGCTGAAATGGAGACAGGCCAAACTCATTAATTAGTTGTAACAGCATGATGTTTTTAGGATGGCCTGAACGCCATCTATTTGGCTTTAATTGCTAACCTGAGCTGAACCCAACTTCACCCTACTGAAGTTGGAATGGTACCATAGGAGATGGGGCCGAATACCGAACAAGGCTGACACAGGGCTCTTTCGACTGGTGATGAGTGACGAGTCAAGCTGTTTTTTCCAACAACCTGGAACCTTTGACCTTCAGATGTTGACCTGAACGGACAGACTGGTGACGGTTCATTCACAGCACCATGAAATATAAGAAGTTGAGCCGAAAAACGTGGAACTATAAAAGTGCTCTGTCAAACACCCATTGAATAGGACTCTGTGTAGACAGAGAATGGTGTGTTTATCTGTGTTCCACTTTCTCATCTCTGCCGGGAACACGTGTTTTACTACCTACGAAAATGTGACTTCACGGGTCTGCGATCAGTTTCGTTGCGGCCTAAAAATTTACTTCAAGTTCCATTTGAACGAGGACAAAAAGCTGGATTCCACACGGTTTGTTGCATTTGTCGAGGTTTCAATAAATCACTTTTTTGTTCTTTTCTACGACACATTCACCCTCATGTGGAAAACTCCTCTTTGGGTAGCCTGTTTACTACCTACAAACACTCGGTAGTCCATGAGAAAAGAAAAAATCTCACATTCCTCGTTGATCGCATGGACCTGTTGTATCGTGGCTGGCCGTCTGTTGGTTACGCCTGCACTGAGCCTGCCAGACTACGCGATAGGGAGAAGACAGAGAACTGGAGACACGGCTGTGTTGCCAGGACAAAACATACAGAGCGTCTGCGTAAATATATGGGATGATTAAATGGCCAAATATGGTCGTTCACTTGTTCGTTCTTTACAGCCAGTGGCGGTGTTCCGGTTGTGAACACTCAGGCCCACTACGCCGGTCATGTGTTGCTAAGCCGTGTTTAGTGCGCTCCGCCAACGCACTTGCTTTCTGGATGTGTCGTACCGATGGTGACCTTGGGGATGCGTCACTCTCTGCACATGTACTTTTTTCATGTCTGGGCGCGCCCTGACAGGATCGTTTTTTGAAGAGTTGATCATATGTCGCAACGAGATAGCTCAACCGCAGTGGGGAGACGAAGGAGATTTACGAATATTGCAAGTCAGTCTCGGAAATGGTCTAGCAAGAGATCACTGCAAAGCGCACATTGTTCTCGGTAACAAGGGGGTTGATTACCTGGCTTGTCTCTGGGTTGTTAAAGGCTTTTGTGCACTCTGAACTCAAATGTCAATCCCTGGTCCAGTGCAGTTTAGCGGCTTCCGTGATATCCTAGATGCTTCAGCATTAGTTATGTCAGGACCTTTTCAAAAGTCGCTGAAAGGTGGTCAATACAAGTATGTAGATATCGTCTTCGGTGTTAGGGGTATGCGTACGCATCTCAAACGTTTAGTTTCTTCTCTGAAGCCGACCACGAAAGAGCAAAAAATAGGAACACCTCTCTTTGATAAGATGTTGGATAACCTGTCATCGCTAGATTTTTGTTAGAATATAAACAAAGTATCTGAAAATATCGCCGAAAGAAATCGGACAGGGGGGGGGGAAACTTGAACATTCCATTCTCCTAACTGATCTGAATTAGGAAGGCATTTAACCTGAGTTTTGAAAAAGACATCATACTCGGTCTTGCTGATCACACCTGTGAGCTCTGTCCATGTTTCTTTGAACACGATTTGGCTAGGGATGTGGTCCCAAGTTGACAAAATGGGGCAAAACGGAGATTGAGATAGTCCGTTCATGACTCACAAATTGTGGAATCGCTGGGCTTGCTTAGATGCGTCATTTAGGTGCAATCAGTCATGGGAAGCTGAGTATTCAGACAAGTCTTCTTGAGTGCTGTCCTGGAGCAGATGTGTGCGCCGCTCGGTCGTTCCTTTCAGAACAGAGTTGAACGCCAAACTACCATGCTAAATTACATTGCGGAGAACCTCAGGAAACTGAAGGGTTGAGCTATAGCCTGGCAGGGCTAGACCATGTACTATTCAGTAGTTATTACGTTGGCGGGTCGACATGGATCATTTAACTGAACTTGAGGATTTTTGATGAGCAATTTTAAGCCCACATCCGATCAATCTGATATTCATTTGTCCCACTAATTAGTTAACCACTCGACAAACAGACAAATAGAAGTCTAGCTGAAAGTTGTACGTTCTACCCAAAAACAGAGGACCAAGTGTTTTACTGTGGATTCGTTCACGAAGAATCAGTCATACAAAAAGCAGCTGTAAACGAGCAACACTGTTGCATCAGTTGATCGACTAGAATCTTCATCGAGACTGCTCCACCACGCTGTGCACACAGCGTTCTTTTATGGAATACCCGACGTGGTTGCTAGTCATTTGAAAACGATTAAGAGTAGCTTTTGTGTTTTTTTCTGCCATGAAGTTGTCCTTAACAACTTGACTTTCAAGCATGTGTGGTCGACACATCCAGCTCAGTTTCCCATATTTGGTGTCTTTACCTAGAAAACAGTCTTCTGACCGATACAAACGCACTTTTAGATAGTTCCAGCATTTTCCGTGGTCCAACACTAGATTGGGATAACTACTAGGCTGCAGTTTGCTGTTGCTACACGTTCCGTCGATGATTCTGGAAGTTAAAAATTTAGAACGAAATATTCACACCAACCTGCTTTGATTGATGCAATCTACGTGACATAGAATAGTTCTGCCGCTGGGTACTTTGGGCGAACAGCCCTTTGCTGGTAGGGTGAGCACAGCTGGAGATTTTCAATGGAGTTCCCCCCCCCCCCGTGAGTGAAGCCAGACCACACCGAAAAGTAGAGAGGCGTAATACAGTCGTTTCGTCTTCATTAGGACTGCAATGCGCATCTCACAAAACTCAAGGGAGTCTCGAAGCCGCAACCTCCCAGCTAGTAGACTGAACACCTTATCATTCGGCCACAATGCGCTGAATAGCTGAATGTGATTAGCTTTCACGGCTCCACTCATCCTTCAGTCGTGGGAACCACATCACCTGTTTGCGTACTGACTGGATCCTCGAGTGACGGACGAATGCATGCGTGGTGGTTTATTCTGTTCAAGTACCCAGCGACTGGGTTCAAACCACTAGCCAGGAGGTCTCCGGTTGGAAACACCATAGAGTTTCGTGCAATGCACTCTCTTTGTGATTTCGAATAAGAATAAAACAGCTTCACATCGTTTTTCAGCTTTCAAGCATAGACAGGCCATGATCAAAGAACCTGTAAGATCCGGACGGTTAAGGATCTCACAGGACGATTGCGACTATTAGATTATACGCAGTTCGTAGCCAGTAGTCAATAGGAGCAGACAGACGTGAGGCAGCAGATGATATATTGAAGACTGACAGGAACTGGTTCTACAGAAAAACGGATTAGTAAGCATCATGAATTAAGAAAACGTACAATCAACAATGACGCAATCTGCAGGAGCTGGAACTAGTCTCTGTCACAGCACGGATTTCTATAGGGGCAACAAGAAGTAAGTACCAAACGATGTGCGGGATGTGAGGGACTATCTTTCGGTTGGCGTCGACGCAGCCGCTCGTGTCGCGCGACAGGTCAGATTGCGCGGTTTCGCCCGTTTAAAACAAAGCTCAGCAAAGGCTATCTGGCAGGCGTGAATTTGGTAGCGCGTTTGCTTGCTGTCCAGAGGGTCCGGGTTCGATACTCGGTCAGCTCGATTTTCCGTCGGATTGGGCGCTCAAAAAATAGGTGCAATCGAGGCGAACTTGCAGGCAATGACAGACGGGCAACAAATATTGACACCACTTACTGAGGGATAAGCAGACCTTAAGTAGGAACAAAGCGGGGGGAAAACGAGCAGCAAGAAAACGAAACGGTGTCATAATAAACAGGTGTAAGTCATGTTACTCGTGAGTAGTCAGAAAACAAGGAAAGTTACCCTTGTTCACCGTTGATTCACAGGGGGAATCGACAGGACCATATGCTTCTTCTGAGTGTATCGGCCATCGCGCATGCAAGCCTACCATACTGATATAGACTCGAGTGAAGGAAGCCGGTAGGAAACACACACAGGTCTGTTGCTTGGTGCAACAACCAAAAGACTCACCTGTGGTGTAAAAGCACTTGTTTGTTTCCATAAAGAATCATAATCCCTCTCCCATAATCGTCTCTCTCCCGGCCTACATTGCACCTTTTATAAGGTAAATGATAACAGGATAACCGGACGGTTGCTTATAACGTGGACCGCACAACGGCCAGACAGTACAGCAACCAGGAATTTAGCAATCAGACAACTGTGGTCACCTTGGTAGCCCACGTCCTGATCACCCTAAGTTATGAGCACCCATGGGTTGGATCACGCACTTTTCAAGCCTGCGTAGATAGCCGTCCTCTAGGCTTGACTGTTGCGTTTCCTGTCATAAACTTAACGGTATCAGTGGGCATCCGTGAGCCAAAACTTTACTTGCACATGAACCTTATTTAAACTCCCTCCAGGTGCGAATTTCAGCTGCGCTGCACGTGCATAATACAGCATTGAATTCCGTTTTGCTCCGAGGTTTGAAGAATACTGGTGTTTGAAATCAGTCAAAAGTTCGCTGATTAAAACAATACTGTTCAGTAAAACAAACAAATTTTTGCCACGGCCTCCAAACATCCTGGACCTATCAATTTGTCGGTCAGGCTTCTATTTCGTTCGCAGCTGATTCTTGAAGTGGATTTCCATGTGTGAAAACATGATCAATTTTCAAAGCTCGGTGCTTTGTGAAACCTTCAAGTCCTAGCGCACTACGAATGTAGGTGTCACTGAAGAGACGATAATTTACCAACTTCGAAACTTGTCCAGTGTTCTGGCCATCCGATGTATGGAGTAGAGAAGCGATCCCCGTCTTAAAAAGGGGTAATTCCATACAGTCGGACAAAGTTATGGGGATGCAGATCTGGTCACGTGAACCCAAACACGAAGAGAGCTTTGTTTAGCCGATCAATATCAGGTTCAACAAGATGCCAAGTGAACCTGGGCATGGGGTTCGAAGCAGTGGAACAACAAGTGTGTAGATTGTGATTGGTCTTCGGAACAGTCGATTGCCATGCGACATCCGTGAGCACACAAAGTACAACACAGCCCACAAAGCTCTGCAGGACGAATGCATGATACCCACGTTCCATCGATGGCCTATAAGACTTGGAATGGTCAACTTTCAGGAACGTCCCACCTATATATCAGTAACTTCTATTCATGGAAGCAGTATGAAGCTCCAGCCAATGGCCTGAACTGAAAGATGGTTTCTTTATGGCCGCAAAGCCCTGAATCAGTTTTAAGGGACAGGCTAACAGGAGGGCGGGAGTGTTCCTCACGAGGACTATCCTTATAGCGCGGGCCAACTGGTAGCTGCAAGTTAGCACGGATTATAATAGATAATTTCGCTTATCTCAGAATTTTCAGGGACTACGTACTTGCTTGACCGAGGCTAGTGAATCACCAACGCACCGATTTGGCCAGTTGTTGTACTTCCGAGAGTCCAGCTGTGGATTTTGGAGATGATGTAGTCACTGAAACAATCGATAGGAAATCATCCAAGATCGACTAATAGAGATAACAAGAATAAGTTTCCCGAAAAACTATCCTTTGGTTTAGATGAAATATTCCAGTAGGTTTTGTGACGTAAGGTTAAGTGGCTTGTTCAGTTTCGTCAAACGAAGTCATCATTCGCTGGAGACTCCCTCAAAGATGACACTACATCGACTCGGAAGTCACCAGGATTAGTTCGCCTCCCCCCTTGCGTGGTTGATTCCGAGGGTTGGTACGACAGCATACAAACAGACAAACAAGTTTTGAGTTGCTCAAGTAACTGAATGTGATGGTGCAAGGCAAAATGTAATTTGAGCTTAAATGCATGCCGTTTTTTCATTCAGCACCTTCGAGTCTTTCAAAAAACACATCGATTTTAGGCTATTTTCTTGACGTATTAAGTAAAGATTTAATTTAGATCACTCTGGAGGATGTCGATCAATACAGTAGAGATTACTCAGTTAGTTTTAGATGGTTGCGAGGTTGTGAACTCTATATTAACAGTATCTCGACTTGGGCGGTCCATGTTCTGTCCTAACAGTTATTCTGCCTCACCAAACAGGGGGAGCACTGGACTCGAATTTCGAACTCATTAGAGCTCATCAGGAGTGCATACCCTTAGAATTTCGCTTATCTGACATGTAAGACAAACATGTTACGCTACTATTCCACCAGCGCCCGATAGACGCACCTAATATATCGCATCTGATCAAGCGAATTTATTCATGTTTGAGCGAAGTGATTGTTTTTTCCGACATCCGACGCCTCGAGCAAGGACCTAGCAACTGTTCTGTTTTTGCCAACCCAGTTTATTGCTTTGCTCACTTGATTTATGTGCTTAAGTGCCACTGAAAAAATCTATGCGACAGCAGAAACTCACATTTCCTCGAAACTCCATAAAATAGCTCCTTTTCCGTTGGAAATGATCCGCTTTGTGGCCATCGCAAACTCTGTCTGATCGGAGCGGTTTTCGATTGTCTAGTTGAAGCGGAAACTTCCAAATTGTTGATCATCCTCCATTCTGCCGTGTTTCTTTCAAACTTCCACTACACCTTCATCCAACAGATGCTTCTTTTCCATCTTTTTTCAACAGAATTCAAATGGAGACTCAGCTCAGTCCTCTCAACTCAGCGTGGTTGATCTCCGTTACTTTTCTGAGTATTGGATACGGGGATATTGTACCACATACACACTGCGGTCGTCTGGTTGCAGTCATTACCGGTCTGATGGTGAGTTGCAGAGACGCTAAAGTATCGGTTTTTCGTATCGACCGAAAATTCTAGAAGGATAAGATGCGGCATTTGTTTTTGTCTGCATTCCGGTGTGTTACTTTGCTCTGTCAGGCAGCTAGCTGTAGACAAGTCATCACGAATCCTTCGAAGTGATTCAGAAATGAGAACACTTTCATTCGCAGCAGGCGTTAGCCCACTAGGACCAGAAAAATCGTATAATGTGATATCCGAACGAGGTGAATTTTGCCAGGAAAAACACTTTTCCAGTCAATCTGAGAAGATAAAATTTGCCATAATGTCATCAGGTGACTGAGGATTTGGTCGGCACCTGGAATGCTCAGGTGACCCTCTGTTTGGTGAATTAGGCATGCTAGTATGTTTGCACATAGTGTCGTAAAAGAGTAGTAGACACCGCACTGAGACTTTAGGTCCGGTGATATGGTCAGTGCATGTACCCAAATTTGCGTTTGAGCGCAGACTACTGGTCGAGATTGGAGGAGGCCAAGCCCGAATGTCGCGTGACAAAATATCTGCAACTCTCTCCCGATGTCTAGCTGCCATGCCACCCGAAGGAAGCACGAGGGCTAGGTTGCCCAAACCTAGATAGATGGAGTCGAGAGGCACAGGTCGGGTCGAACCTTCCGGTCAGTGAATCCGTGCTCTAGCCACTTCAGTCATCTCGTTCCCAAAAAAGAATGTCACGTGGTCATTGACCAATCCGGTCACAGATTAACAGACCAACCAAGAGGAGTGACAGTGTTCCGAAATATTGTCAGCTTGGGTACTTTTACTTGTTGTTGATCAGGTAGCCTGCTCGAAGTTGGGTAGTTCGGATCACTGATGATGTCTCTTCGTTTGATGACGAAACTTTTGAGTTACTTACCAGATCATCACCAACCAACCAATAGTACTGCCTTCTCGAACAAGCAACACTGATCGAAGGTCAGCCGCGGCTAGCAGCACGTATAGAAAACACTGATTAAATCACCCCGATTGGTGATGAAACGTTTGCAATCACCAATGCACACTGAATGTGACGAGTCGAGACCCCAGTCCATGATAGCCAGAAGTGAAGCCATTTCTGAGCTAAGCGGTTTTTTACTTGTTCTGAAAAAAGTGGTTTCTGTTGCGCAGGAGTGGGACTGGATGCGCCAAAGTTTACCGGTTTCTTTTTGAAGATTGGCGTCCCTGTCATCAGTACACGGCCTCATTTCGTAAGCCCAGTTAAACTGGTCCTTCTAAAAATAGGGTCCCCATTAAAAGGGGCGAGCTGTGAGAAGCAGTGCAACTGAGAATTTTGGTTCTTGAACAAAAAAATGTTCGTTGCCGACGGCAGCTCATTCACACAGTTGTTTTTTGAATATCACACCGATGCACATTTTGGCTATCGGTCAAGCAGGATGTTTAGTGGATATGTGAATCTACCTGACCTCACGCAAGTAGCTGGGAGTTTGAAATAGCCTACCAAGGTCGTCAAAGTTTTCATACATGAGATGAGTTTCGAAAAACGGGATTATTAGACTCCAAACCCCGGAGCGTAGTTAGGTCCGCCACTAAGATATCTACGTGGTAAGAGGATTCTTCTCAACAGTTCGGTCTGCTAGTTGAAGTCCAAATGTCTGGATACCTGAATTACTCGTCAAGGAAAGAGACCCTCGAGCGCAGAGTTCGTCAGTGAGTCACTTACGCCATATTGGACACAAAATTCAAACTGTGAAATGTGAATGTTCATGATGGTCTTCTTCAACTTCTTGGATGTTAGGCAATCGTAAACGAAAGCTGCAAATCTTTTTCATAATTTCTGAACCAACCTTCCGTCACAATCGCGAAAGGACACTACTCGCGTTTTTCTTCAGTAGTATGCACCTAGTAGGAAATCCGGTATTTTGTCTTTCACTTGAAATGAGCAGGGATGACGCAGCCACCACGCAGCCCCACGGGCAGTTGCCTTCGAAGACGAGATCAACCGTGCAGGAATCACTGTACAATTGTTACTGTTTTGTACTTTGCTTAAAAAGATCAGAGCCAAAGAAATTCGAGTGCATTTTTTAAAACTTTTCACAGCGTTTTCCGCGTTCAGTTACTTGATCTCGTACAGTGATTCGACGTGCACTGTAGACTACAACGTGATGCATGCAGTCATTTATCTCACACCACCTCGTTGCGCGTATGGTCATTTCCGTTCAGAGCAGGTTTCCGTCACTAGAGTTCCCGTTCCCCGTTTGCACTACGCTAGTTAAATGGTTTCCAAACAACGAGGAACTGTTATTTAACCGAACGCTTCCAGCTGTTTTCCTTTTTTTGGAAACTCTTGTGGACCACAGTCTCCTTAATGTCTTCTTATTACCGCGAACCCCGGTCTAGATAGCCTGGTGCGCTTGGCCAAACCAGAGGGGTCAATGAACGTGTGAACCTGCTGATCTATTGATCTAAGTCGGGTATAAGCGGTCAAAAAAGTGATATTAAGAATACAACTCACCTGTCAAGGTCGAGCGAAGAACAACCAAGGAAATCTGTCTCAGCGAAAACGGCCATTCCGTTGGTTGTTATATAGTCCCGTTACGTTCAGAGCCAGTCCTCCTAATATCTACCCCTTGAAGTTGAGTAGTCTAAAATGAGACATCAAAAACTCTACATGTTCCGGCTCTTATCTGTGTTCCGTCAGTGCTCTGAATGGTGCAGTGAACGATTTTCAGCTCTCCTTGCAAACCAGTGTGATAAGCGTTTCTTGAAGAAAATCGGGCTTGATTCGCCAGGCCATGTGATTTCACATGTGTCCTGGTGTTTTTCAGCGAAACCCTACGATCCTTTACACCCTTCAGTCTCAAACCGGAAGTTTGACAGACAATCCTTTCAGGATGCCCATCCAGCGCTTGGGGAAACTGAGAGTTCGCCCATTACGTAGACATCACATGTGAAAAGACCACTGAAATCTTCCATTTATTTTGCTTTAAAGTGTGCATAGCTAATTAGTTAGCTCGTATTTGTCGTAAAAATGTGATTATATTTTGTCTGTTTGGCCACGAAAGTTTCTTCTAGTGAATAGTACATTTTTTACAGTGTGACCGGAATTGTCGGGGGACGACATAGTTAGCCACGGATGTATGACCCCTTAGAAGCCCCCAGGCTAACCACTATTGAAAGGAAGAAGGCCCTCGCTGCGGAACCAACCGAACAGGTTACAGACTATTGGACGGGGAAGCGAAACTCTCATATGCATCTTGCTTACAAAAACTGAATATCCATCCTCTCTTTGAACGCATCTTCCTGAACATTCCTGGATATTCATTGACTGTTGCTCAACCGTAAGCAAATGCTACAAAGCGACTCCACAAATTGCGTAATAGATCTCATTTTTCAAGAGACGCGAAGCAGAGTTACGAGGAAACATACTACTCGCATGCCTCAACAGTAGTATCCGCGTGACACTAGTACTGAAGCGGAGGAGATCATACGAAGATGTCATTTTCGAAAACGAGACCCAAGTATGGTGTAGGGCATGTCATACAGTTGTAGTCGCCAGATTCACTAGAAGTGCGCATCAACGTAACGTCCTTAAACTGAGTGCGCTGCACAAACCGCCTCAAGCTACAGGCTGAACGGTACTCAGGATATCGACGTGCATTTCAGTGGCCCACTGCAGTCCACAACGGAATTTGCTCCATTGAATCATAGATTCAGGTGAATTTCAGCTGACCCTGCAGTCAAAACCGGATGAATTACCCGTGTAATTCATTGTCGTAACATGTGTACAGAGCTGTATTCAAGTCAGGTATAGGGTTGATGCAAAAACACTGCACGGCAACCCCAAGAAGTGCAAAACAAACAGTGGGCTGCCTGAAGATTTGTTGAAACAACATGTTGCTGTCCTGTTCGTACTAAGTTTTGTACTACTGAGTGGCAACTTCAAGGCACAGCACTCACCACTTTTGTTTGAACAGTCCTCTCTTGCCACGGTTGTTCTCTTATGTCCACACCGAACGTGAAAAGCACTTGAGCTCACCAGCAATAGCCCTATTTGGTCCTCTGGGCATCCGGATCCCGGATATGTTGCTTACAGGACCACTTTTCACCAAAACAAGCTGGAGGTAACTGGATTATCACTTCTGAACGGAAAAGCATGCTTCCCTGTTGAGGAATGCTAGTGGGTTGACTGATGAGGATGCGTCGATTTCCTGGTTCACTCGGCGGGAGCTCTTGTTCGTCTGACGTTATGGAATTTCATCAAACTACTTGCAGGACTTGCATTCAGGTCATAGTAACCCAAAGAAAGAACATCTTTACTCAGAAACTTACAATTCTCGGTAAATCAACAACAAAAATGTGGATTCAACGGCGAATAGATCAGTGTTCATAGATGTGAGCAACCAACTCACATCGCCCTTCACCCTCACTTTTGACATTTGGAGTAATTCAAGCAGAAGGATGATCTGTCAATCGTTTACTTCTGCACACAGATGCGAACGCAACACAGTTCGACAGTAGTTGGGTGGAACTAGGGGCGTTTGTGGCTTTGCTCAGTTCATCGACGCGTAAGACTTTAGTTTCCTCAAGTTGACCTAAGGTGANGTTTACTTCTGCACACAGATGCGAACGCAACACAGTTCGACAGTAGTTGGGTGGAACTAGGGGCGTTTGTGGCTTTGCTCAGTTCATCGACGCGTAAGACTTTAGTTTCCTCAAGTTGAACGTAAGGTGAGGAGTAATTTCTACGTATGATCCCTACACGCTTCAGTGGGGTTGCAGCTGATCATTGTGACTGCTAGAAACATCTGTTTTGGAACACATCAAACTACATCAAAAATGGGACGGTGACTGTCAAGTCAAGTAGAACGTGGTAAACATCATTCGTGCAACCACACACAGTGGATTTATGCACATATTGATCCCAGATTTGACCACAGACATCTGGTTTCTTGTCGTGAGAAAACCTTATGTCTAGTTTTCATTTTCCAGAAGTGTAGAATGCGGTAATCACTCTATTTTTAAGGCTCCGCCGTGACACAAAACGCAACTCCATGAACGCTATAAAGCAGTCAGTTTTCGGGATCCCGTTTACAAGATGTCTACCGGTCAAAACGTCCGGCATCCATCCATCTGTTTATCCGCCTGTCTGTCTCAATGCCTGTCTGTTTCTCTCTTTGGTCTGTCTGTCTGCCCGTCCGTCTGTCCGTCTGTCCATCTGATTCGTCAACGCGTCCCATATATACAATTTTGAACTGAACCCTGACACTAAATTGCATAATTTCTTGGCTCAGTTCGTATGGTAAATGACTACCATTTTAGGAGCTGACGTAGGTGTCTATCATTTTTTCACTACTATCCTAAAAACTTTGGTGAGCCCCTGATCCTTAGCGATTGGGACTGAGCGTCCACTGAATCCGCCACATTCTAGAATACCGATGTGGTTTTGGTTTTCTAGCCCTGGATGGAAGTCAATACTTCAGTGTGTTCAACTGATGAGAAGAGATTATATCGTTGAAAACCCGCGACCGATTTACACCCTTCTTGGAGCTCATCAGGTAGAAACAGTTCTAGATTTTCCGTCAACCTTTTAATCTGGTTGAACACTAAACTGTACAATAGTGGTCGAGAGGTCTTCAGCAAACCTGTAGACAGTGTATTTCCTCAAGAATCGTACAAACTGAAACATCAGACGGTCTATATGTGGCACATTCAGTTGAAGAACCCCATAAACGAGAGATTTAGTTGAGTCTCCCATGAGAGCCAAACTGATTTGCAAATAGTCTAATTTGAGTTCAAGTAAGATATTAAGTTGACGGCAACTCGGAATTTGCGCCCACCATATGAGCCCCAAAAAGGGCGAAACCGTTTATGGGCTGCTGAAGCGTTCTCAGCAACCTTGTTAATGGTTTCCTTCATGAAAATATACTGCGATATCTCGAATATCTTACCAACTGAAACACTAAGCGGCCTCTGCGCAGCACATTCAGTTGAACACTCGACTGGGATTCAGTCGGGTCCCCGTGAAAACTAAATCGGTATACAAATGGGCAAATCTGGCGAGTTTATTTATCTGCATATTTATTTGAAACTGTAGAAAATCAAAACTCAGTGGAATAGGACATACTTAGTGCTGCAGATGTTTGGTCGTCTTAAAACCAGTCCATTCAGGTGAAAGACGGGCGTCCATTTAAAAGGAGGATTGCTAGTCTACAAGCCGATTCGGTAACTAGGCCACTTCAGTATCCAGATGACAACGCTGCGTAGAGATAGGGTGTGTGTGTGCAAAAGTGTACATCTTGCTGGTTGATTTGATTACGCGATTTGCTCCTCAAAAGTGTTGTCTTTCGAACAGATGTGATCGTATCCTCAATGCAGAGCAGAACAGTTAGATAGGAACCCCGAAAAATGTCACAGTTTGTCCAAGCTGATAAATGCACGAAAATAGCCCGGTTTTGCTTCCAATCTGATTGAAAAATACCTTGTTGGTATGAAGGTATGCGACTGACACACGGTGAGAATGATGGGTGTTGTACACCGCATCGGAAGTCTCAATTCATTCGCTGTCGTGTTAGCGGTTGTGAGTGATATTCATTTGTGGAGTGTGTATAGTTTGTCTCAATCATACAAAAGCAGCGCCCAAAAAAACAAAAAAATACGAAGCTGAAGAAGTACTTTCGAGATGTCAAGATTGACACCTACAGAGACCCTCATTTCCCCCTCCAGAACAGATGATTTTATGCCTTTTCTGGTGAGTTCTCAAATGGCACACAGTTTTGAGACTCTTTTGAGTTCAAAAGTATTATCTAGCGATGTTGCTATGTGGCTGTTGATGTACCAGCCATTTAGGATTGATCAGAAAAAGATTGATTGAGAACCAATTCAACCATTAAACTGAGGGTTGATGTGATATAGCGATGATCGTTTTTGCCATAGCGAGTGCGTTTTGACAGGATATAGCGAAAAAAATCAGGCGGCTAAACAATGAAACACGTTTATCTTCTTGTCCGGAGTGATCCAGTGACTCGCGTTCCCGCTCATCAGGTGCTTGACTGCGTGGCTTCCCTTACAGACAGCCAGCCAGTCTCTTAAACAGGCGCCAAATCACAAAAAAAGCAAAGAGTTTGTGCCACATTCGAAAACGGGACAAAACGAAGGGTACTGGTGAATTACGCTTGATTTTTACACCGGGCAAACAGATACTGCTGAGTTGAATCCTAAGCGGCCTGACACAGTCACTAACCTTAAAGAAAAATCCAGATTCCCGTGCTGGCTTCCGAAGCCCATCTACCTCGTTCAGCTGTAGCATCCTTTCGGTGCCTAACTGCCATGCTACCAGACGGAAGCACGAGGGCTGGGATACTGCCAGGTTGTCCAAGCCTAGACAGCGAAGGCGAGATGCAGAGGTCGGGTTCGAACCACAGACCTTCTGGTCGCCACCATTGCAGGAGTTCGCCCCTGGTTATGCCAAAAGACAGACTGGCGAACTTCAGTAAAATGGGCTACAAAAATTCATTGGAAATATGTCGCGATTAGAATCAATTATCCAAGTGATCTTCGGATGCCTCAAATGTCAACAAGTGCAATTAAAACGGGTACTTTGTGTGGATATATATCGGAAACCTTTATGCCTGACCAGAGACTTACCTGTTTTTTCTCCAAGAAAGTAAACGAGAATGTAAAATCAGGTATTTCCAAGTTCTGACTAAAGTCTGTGCCATCCCGGGGAGACTCACAGACAGTACCGATGCAAACTGAGATAGCTTCGTATAGCTCGAAGGTTTTCTGCTGGATAGTTATCAGTCCGCTACATCAATACACTGCATAACCGTTCTTCCCGTTTGTACCAGAAAACGATTACGGAAAGCATGTATTCGAGCTGTGAGATCCTGTCAGTCTTTTCATGTCCAACATGGCCGAACATTTTGGTTCAGATGTACACTTCTACAAAAACAAGAAATGTAATCTGAAGTGAAACCCTGTTAGGACAGCAAAAGACAAAACTGATAGTTTCATGCGTTCCCTATCAAACGACCAATCATCGGAAGTCGCGTGAGTTCGGTATCCCTAAAGCAGGGTCTCGTGATTCTTGGCTCTAGAGTGGCCAGTAAATTTATCGGTATTGATTGGCGACACTTTGGTCAAGTCCTGATCCCTACGACCAATCTAATTTTGACTTGACAATCAGAAGCTCAATCGATTGGCTGTGGCGGTCAAGGCGAATGTCAGGTCACGTGAGTTTCAACGAATAGGAGGAAAAGTGAACAGTCATGGCCGAGATGTTTCTTCCAACCAGTGAATAGATGCCGGATTCTTGGCTGTCATGTTAATCTTTGTTCAGACGTAGGAAACCGCATTAACTCTGGCCATCTTAGTAGTCTTGGAGTTGCAAACGAGTGGTATAAAAAATGTAACTTGATCTCAACAGTTTTGCTTCCCCAGAATAAAAGTTCGTAAGCTCCACTATCTGGCTGTGAACTCATAATTCCTCAATGTGTGAAGTCCACTTTAGTACAAAGATTTAAAATTGAAAACAAAGTTTTATTTGCAAACTACTCAACGGATTATTTTCAACCAAGGAGACCTATAACTTAGCGAAAAATATCGACCGGTCTTATAATTGGTTCGCATACCTCATAAAGTGAAATCCGCCCACTGCAGGTGTTTCTGTGTCAAACGTCCAAATAAAACCATATTTATTCGCCACTAAATGACATTTTAGCTGACAGCAATTCATACTTTTGTTATCAGCTTTTATCCCCGATGCGATAGCCGACTTTATCATCTGTCTTCCCGAATTCCTCAGGGATCCGCCTGTACAGCGCTGCTAGTGGCAGTTTTCTCGCGAAAGCTTGAGCTCTCCAAGGCAGAAAAGCACGTGCTTCATTTTATGGAGGCGAATGAGATCACAAAGCGAGTAAGTATGCGCACACGCGACTACACAAACTGTGTTGTTTGGTCGTAGAACTGCCGGATAAGAACGAAGCGACCGCGCGCGCGCGTGAATATATTTATCCTGTTGTTTTGTTGTTTACCCCAATTCTTTCTTTATTTGAACCATCTGGCAGTCCAGAAAAGTGGAACGTTTACTTTGTGATACGCAATGCTGCAAGAATGTACGCATTCCTCCTGAAAACAAACACAGATCGATAAATGTCGACGGAAGGTAGCTCAAGCCCCGCTGGGCGCTTGGGCCCACAAACAAGTGCGCATATGACACAGAACTCAATCAGGGAACAATGCACTTTAGTAGAGGAATCCTAGGACCAAATTATTGACCTCCGTCAATAGCGTCAATAGCGCAAAACGAGAAACCGATGAGCCACCTGGTAAGAGCATAAAGCGGCTACGGTTTCATGGACAAGATAACCTGAAATTGCTGTAGAATAACCCTATCAATGCTGAAAGTTTCAGGCAGTATGTCTGCTTATCATACCACGTACTTGTTAGTCCACTAACTCAGTGGGTTTCAGGCTTTTAGTTTGAGTCCACGACGATGCTTGAATTGATATTTTGTAATCGAGGATAATTGGGCGAGATGGCTCAACTGGTTAGAGCACGAATTTACTGACTGGAAGGTCCGTAGTTCGAACCCGACCACTGCCTCTCGACTTCCTCTGTCTATCTAGGCTTGGGCAACCTGGCAGCCTAGCCCCGTGCTTCCTTCGGGTGGTGTGGTAGCTAAGCACCGGAAGGATGTTACAGCTGAATGATATTTATATTTATATATGTAATCGAGGATAACCCAGATTACCTTTAGTCGGCTAAGAATATTTTGATAACCTCACCCTGTTAGCTCACAACATTGTTTATCGATTCCAACTATTTGGTGACTCTCCCTCGAGTTGACCATAATGTACCAATATCTCAAAGTTGTGTGGAACCCTAGCCTGTTAGAATCGACTCCCATGAAACCTAGTGCATGCTGTTTCTGTTGTCCTGCTTTGTTCACAGTAGGGGCCCGAAACAAATCATAACTGGTTATTTGTCTGAAGAGATCAACTCAGAACACGGCTTGCAGCCGATTCCTCTACGTTAACCTGATGCGCCGTAATAGGGACGAAAGTGCCCATGTGGCAGCATCGGGAGGAAGGAATGGACATCTCTTCGAATGCGAATCCAGGTGATACACACCGAGTGAATTCCACACACCAAGAAAGGGCAATGCTGGAGGGAGGCATAGAAATTCATGACTGCAGCAACCTCTAAATGTCCCGTTATTGATCATTCCGAAACACTTCCTTCCAAGTCTCTCCTGAGATGACGAAGGTGGTGGATTGCACATACATATGACTTGCATCTCTTGTGGAGTGGGGCGGTAGCCTCTGCCATCCTTTTATGCTCCGAATTCGGGTCACGAGTACCCGTTAGTCAGGCCAAGGATAACAGACAAGCCAAACCGTCAAACACTTAGGACTCCAACCATCACTGTTGGTCTAATTAGGTTTGGTAAGAATACGAATCTGGAATTAACTAACTGCATTTTTTGGAAGGACGAATACAGAATAGCCCAGACAAACTATGCCGTGATGACTGAGATTTCCGGACAACAGTCGGTTCGATCTCAAGACCGCAAAGCACAGTACAGTAATTAACTAACTGCATTTTTTGGAAGGACGGATACAGAGTAGTCCAGACAAACTATGCCGTGATGAATTTGAGATTTCCGGACAACAATCGGTTCGATCTCAAGACCGCAAAGTACAGTACATCTCACTGAAGGGAAGCCACCTTACTACTATTTCAGAAAACGTTGTTACAAAAGAGTCGCGCTTTCTAATAATCGCTGTAGTATCTGATTTCAAGTATCGCGCATAGGTTTGGAAAAACAAAACTGTGGGACTTCTGGTACTGGTGTTTCCATAACACAGCTATTACCATAACATGCAAAGTTGAGCTCTATTCAGCCATGTCCTTCCACAGGTAAAGCACTGCGCTGCCAACGTGCTACGTGAGACCTGGTTGCTTTACAAAAATGCCCGACTGATGCCAACAGTCAATCCCAAACGTGTGCGAGTACACCAAAGAAGGTTTTTACAAGCCATTTACAGGTAAGCCTTTTTCAGGAATGTAACAACCTTTGTATTACTGCCGATATCATTCAACCCCGTGTTGTACAGAACTCAACGGGGAAGGAACATTCATAGCATGGGCTGAAATTTCCACCCGGTGGGTTGGAAGCGGTGTTGGAACATCCGTGGAACCGGTTACTAAATCCTAATGTCTTCAGGAGTGCTTGGATATTCAGTAAAACTTTCCACTCGGTCTTATTTAAGATGTTTGATTACTTTTGGTAGCCCTCCCCTACAACGTTGTTGAAACTATCTCTCATCATCCTATGTAAAACAGAGACACTCGTGAAACAATCTGGAAAGACAACTTGAAGAAGATCACAGGTGCCCTTCGTATGACTTTGGGGCTACAGGGAGAACAAGCATCTGCTTGGAAACGTGACCTGTTTGTGAAACCGATATTCACTCTTTGGAAGAAAGAGAAAATTTCCTGTTTTCACTTGTCTTGTGATGTTCCACAACTGAATGTGCTGCACACAGGCCACCTCATGATTCAGCTGGCACGATATTCGAAATGCCGCAGTAGATTTTCATGAAGGAAACTACTCAATCAGTTGTAGAATATCATAAACGAGAGATTCAGTTGGGTCTCTTGTGAAAACCAAATTGATTAGCAAATGAGGTCCTTCATAACTTTTCTTGTGAACATGAATGTAGCATTTTCGACTGAGATACGGTCATTTAAGTGAATTTAATCCATAGTAAAAAGTCCAGAAGCACTATGCAGATGTCGATTCCTTACTGGGAATCGTCAGTAGTACGCATCTCATGGAATCCAAGGGAATTTCGAGCCCGTGACCTTCCAGCTGGTAGTCTAAACACTGGTGGCAAATCAGCGGTGCGATTAACTCACATTTACCGGGATATAACCTCAAATGGATTTCAGTCACGTAATCTACGTCGCGTAGTCACAAGTGCTGACTGACTTCTCGAATGCCGATGTGCCAGATGGAATTTCCACTCTCGAAATCTTTACAAAATTTCCCTCAAATTTCTGGCACTGTGAATTTCGCCGACAATACAGCTGTTGGTAGATCATGGTTGACATTAGCTTGGTATTCATAGCATGGTGCCACGGTTCTCGTGATTGCGTAATTGCCAAATTGGAAGCCTCCTTTTGCAACTATGTCAAATGTGCGGGGCAGCGTTTTGAGTTTCCCACACGTGCACTGACTCCACCGATCGATTTTCTGATTAGTATTTCGAATCCGTTCTGTGGTCGATTACATTACGATCGATCAAGCTATCTGTTGTCACATTAGACGTTTGTCGGACCAGTATGCCACAGAAAACTCAGTTTTGCCGGCTCCAATGTTATGACTGTTTTTTTTTTCAAATTTAATCACCCACATCAAGCTGGCCGTAACTTAGGTTTTTTCTGTTCATTTTATGCCGAGGACCGATCCATCGTCCAATGGGAAGGCAGTGAATAGCTCCGATCCCCTAAGTTTATCGATTGGGATGAGATCATAGTTTTGGAACCAAATAAAAACTGCTTAATGGTAAATATTTAACTCGACCAACAGAAAACAGTATGACCAGTGAGGTGGCAGCAGATTGGTTAAAAAAAAGTGTTACCACTGCAAAAACGGAAACCACTCCACGAGTATAGCACGCAGGGGGAATTGAGCAGAATCGTCATTGCTGAGGGCAGAGTTTAGGTGACAGAACCAAAAACGTACAAGTTTTCTGACCGACCTAACGACTTTGTGTGGATTAATTCCATTCCATTACTACACGCTTCGTATACTGGGTTCCACACATGAATTTCAGCGTAATCAGACACACAGCACCGTAAAAGATCAGCTTGTGAGTCTGGTTTAACTATTTACGTTATCCCAGGATACAGTCTTTTAAAGTAGGTTTTGTCCTTTAAGTGAAGTCAACAGATACTGGAATTCCTAGAAAAACCGCACAGTCCTAACATACTGATTGTGACGAATCGGCAATGCGTGCCTTACAAAAACACAAGTAGTCTCGAACAAACGACTTATTTTTTCGTAAGAAATGTCCCTCTGACGAGTTTCAGTATGAATGACAGCAATATACAAAGTTTATCGGCTTTTCAGCCTATACTGCGCTCAGAATCAACGAAATTCTCATATATCATAACAGTTTCCCATTTGGCCATCAAATTCACCTCCCGTGTGAAGTTGGCTTTCATTTTAAGGCAACATGGCTAGGTTAATTCTCAAGAATCTAAAATCAGTGTACGCGTTTTACGCGGTGTGCAATAAAATACTGAAACATTAAGTTTGAGTTCTAATGTGAAACAATTCCCCACCGATCGTGGGCTGTCGAAGAGTTTTCAGCAACGAGTAGTTTCGTTTCGTTTATGGAAATATACTGCGACATCTCGAATATCGTGCCTGTATGCAGCACATTCAGTTGTAGAATACCATAAACGAGAGATTCAGTTGAGTCTCTCGTGAAGATCAAATTGATTTGCAAATGAGTGTAATTCCCCATCTTGTTGTTCTAAAAGAAAAACTCAGCGAAGCAACTTTTCTTATCAGATAAAGCAAGGTTGTTTTCCTGACGGGAAAACTTGTGACGACACTCGACGTTGCCGAGGTAAACAAACGGGCAGGCAGACAGGATCCAAAATTTTGCTTATCAGCCTTTTGGCAACCCTGTGTTATGAGGATACAAAGCCGGACCTCAGACTTAAACAAAAATAAAAAATAAGCTTGCAGTCCGGCTGGTAAGCAGAAGCGAAGGAAAACAACTGTGCCACTGAGGAGTAAACAGTGTCTTCCTCGGTATCTTCTAGGTTGCATATCCGGTGCACTGTAGTACAACCCAGCAAGCTCCCTTTTTGTTCTTGCTAGGAGAAAGATCACCGGTTCAGCCATTTCGGTGAGAATGCAAGCCGAAACGCTACTCAAAGCGAAGTTGAACAAAAATACCTATCCATCAAAACCCCAAATTGCAACAAAAAATCTGCCCAGTGGGTTTCAAGCGTGTGCCATGCTACCTGACTGGAAAGTCCTGACTGGCGGGTCAGTTGATCGTCACAACCAGAACAGTTACTGGGTCGCCATTCGATGAGTCGGGCATACCAATCACATCGCTCAAGTGTGAACACGTTCAGACGTGAAAATTCGGATGCGTCCAACGTGCGTTGGTGGAGTAGTGGTTGCACGCTCGCCTCGCATGTCAGATGTCCGGGGTTCAAATCCCGGCACGGTCATTGGATATGCACTGCTGATGAGCTTGAAGCTCGAGTCTAGTGCTTCCCTTTGGTGTGGACCCACCGGAATAGTTACGCCAGAACAGGCGGACGGCCGTTCAAACGAGTGGTGTGACCATAAACGGAAATTTAATTCAATATGGAGAGAAACTTAATTCACACAATTTAATTCGCAAGTAAAATAGAATGCGTGACCCTCGAATATGTGAATATTCATGCAACACCCTTGACTTAGATTGCAAAAGCACTGATGAGCACTTTAGCTGCCGGATTGGGCGCGGTAATCAACCGTGTATTGTTGAATATCGTGATCTCCAGGATGACGGCACATGCGTAATCCACACGTAGGCTGGAAATGAGCACTGCTGTGGTGGAACGTATGGTCTGTCAACCCAACGAGAAGTGCCTAGCGAGTCATTCGACAACCATGAGGAAAATCGTGAAATCATCGGTAAAACTTGCTTTTCCAATCGTCAACACCACCATGGTTGTATTGTGGAGGAATTTATCCAAAATGTTTGAGGTACCATTCGGTTCATATATCACTGCTATTTCATGACTATCCAATGCACCAACGTACGGAGGAAGGTCGGTGGTTCGACTGCAGTTCTGACAATTCCACTGCTATCCACCAGGCTGGGGTAACCTGGCTTCTTACCAAACGGGTAGCACAACTGAACGGTTATCATTTTCACATTCACCTGACTCCGGCATCAACAGGGATGATCCCGTCCTAGCACAGTTAGTCTGGTGGGTCTACACCAAAGAAAGGAAGCACTGGACTCTGATATAGTTCTTCTCAGGGCTCATCACCATTGTGTATCCCTTGCGTTACTCGGATTTCGTTTCTGGACGAGCGAAGTGGATACACCAAAACTACTCCACCAGTTGGGGTTTTCCACATTCGACGGAAAAACATGCAAACATGTCTCTCTGCGTGTCTTTTCGTTTCGAACTTTTTTTAAGGCCACTATTTTATTATATTATTCACCCTATTTTTATCGTAAAACACTAAAACAAAATCAGCAATTTCCATATTAACTTTAAGCAGTAAAAGGCAATCGCATCTAGCTTCTGTAACCACTTTCTTAAATTTGTCAATAAAAAATCTAAACTTCACTGGAGCTGTTGAAATAGTTTCGATAAAGGTACACAACTCATGCAATCCCCAGGAAGTAGGACCGGATGTGCCGAGTTCTGCTGATCAGCAAATTTTGGGAAACGAGTTTTCGCGTTTTTTCCCATTAATCTAAGATAACATACACCGTATTCTCGTGGAAGATGGGAGATCGAATTTCCAGCTTTCGGTAGAGGCTGAGGTTAAGACATCGGTCATCGGTTAGACTTCCAGCATGCGTTTATAAGTTCAGATATACTGATGTTCCCGACCTTATTCTGAATTCATGGAAATCATCTGTAATTGACCGTAAACCAAAATCTCCAAAATAACGAGAGCAGTACAAAATAACCTTGAAAGAAATTCAGAAACTACACTCTACTGATAAGCTCGAAGAAAAACGAGTAATGAGCTGCCTGCAGTTTCTGTTACCCCCGAAAATGATTTTTTTCGAAAATATGGCTAACCTGTCATTTCACCAAAATTTATTTCTTCATTAAAAACAACCCACTCCGGGCTTGGAAATTTTACTAATATACTACTTACTACGCTACTACTTATATAAACATCACGTGGAATATTTGTACCCAAAATATTCTGGTGGCCAACTTCTCAGAATAGAAAATCGTCTTACATGTTTCGCGCATCCATCCGGTTAGAATGTCCTGA